ATAAGCCCTACTCCAAAAATAAGCCCCAGTTAAGTGAAACCCCACCTTCCACCATTGTGCAGCAACCATAAGAAGATGATGTGACTGCATTTGAATAAATGTAGATTGTTATACATGAAAAAATAAAACATCCCCTGAAAATAAACCCTAATGCATTTTTGGAGCAAAAATTAATGCAAGACCCTGTCTTATTTTTGGGGAAACACGGTATATCTTAGGCACCTCCCCCACAATGCTTTAACTTGCTTAACTTGCACAAGAGACCACAAAGAGAAATGGGTTGTTTACCTGTAATTTTGGTCCTCTAAGTGGTCATCTGTGCCTTTGCATGACCAGCTTCCATCTCTAGAGGAGCCTGTTTCTGCTCCTGTTCAGATGCTACTAGTTTTTTTTTTTCAGTCTGCTGTGATTTTCTTAAGAAACAGAGAGGGACAGTGGGAACTTTCTTGTCTGAGAACATTCAGTTAGGATTACCATGTAAAATTTCGAGCTCTAGAATGTTCCTGAGTAATGCTTTGCATAGGCATTGACCCTATACGTTAATACAGTGGTCCCTAACCTTGGGCCTCCAGATGTTCTTGGACTTCAACTCCCAGAAATCCTGGTCAGCAGAGGTGGTTGTGAAGGCTTCTGGGAGATGTAGTCAAAGAACATCTGGAGGCCCAAGGTTGGAGACCACTGCGTTAATACACAGATAACGCTTCGCAGATTTGTAGTTACCTGTTCTTCCTCTGAGAAATTGTAGAAGAAATGATTTTTAACTTTGAAAAACAGACTTACAATACAAACAACAAACAGCAATATCAGTTAAAAAAGATAAAATTAATAGTTTCAAAGAAAAAAAGAAAAATATACGTATCCTTAATACAAAGTAATACAGTACTTCTCTATACACAGAGCTATCGTTATTGCTAACATTTAGTGCTCCCCACCACTGGGACCTTTTGAGATACTTGTTGTTGCTGTTGTTGTTAATATATGTTTCTTTTCCTTTTGCATTTGAAATCCCCTTATCCATTCCAAAAATATCATATTTCTTGTGTTGCTGCCTGACCTTTCCCTTTCACTAGAACAAATTCTATAAAATCTCTATATATATCACTAAATTCATTCATTTTTAACAATCTCAATTTTAATTTTTATCTCACATGTCAAATTACCATTAATGGGTTAATTCAATTCTTATTTTGTGTAGGAAAGAAATAAAAAAGATGAAACAGAAAAAAAACCCACTTCATTGCCAAATCTGACGATCCTCATTAAGTTCTTATGCTTTACTTTTCTGCAGATTTCAATATAATAACCCTGTTTTTCTGCCTTGTTTTGTTTATGCTCTCTGATTCTGTATTTTCTCTATTGTGGTTCCTTGCTATTGCTACCGGGTTTTTTAAAAAAATCTACTTACGAAATCTTATGGCTTTCATTACCACCTAAACACAAATGACAACTACTCTATGCTTCCACCTAGACCTTCCCCATCTATTTAATCCTGAATGTCCAGGAGCTTTTTTCATATTTCCATCTGAATGCTCCATGGTAGGGACTTCCAAACAAGTACCCATGTTAATCTATCTCAACATGTTGGCAGTATGAAAGATAAAAAGGGGGAAAAGGATAACAAAGTCCAAAATATGGAGTCAATTTATAGACTGACAGATCTGTTTCAATATGAGCTTTCCTGGATCAAAATCTACTTCTTTAGATATTTATTTTGTGCCTGAAGAGGTGGAGTTTGGTGCATGAAATCTCACTCTGAAACAGTGCCACAATATTTTGTCCTTGTTTTTCCCCCATTTTAATTTTGCTGGCATTCATAATAGAAGATATGCAAATACCACCCAATCCAGTTTGTGTCCAAATATTTGTGGATAGGTTGGGATTTACCTGCCTTGAGCTGGTATTTGGATGTTTCTGAATGGGTGGAACAGAGGACTATGACCTGTGATGGGGAGCATTTCGTAGCACCATCAATTTTGGAGAATATTCAGTGTATAGATAGAGCTACTGCCAACTTCCTAAACTATTTCTTGCCCAGCTCCCACTCTGCATTAGCCGGCAATTAAAACAAAAGTAACAGAACAGTGGAGGAAGCACTTGAACTTACCCAGTCAAATCCAACTGAAGAGAGTTGTTCACTGACACATAGTCATAAGTGTAACAAAAATGCAGAGTAGTTATGTAAAAGGAAAAATAATAAGAAGGTGACTAGCCTTCACCATCCCTTTGCAGTGCCTGGATGTGAAGTGGCTGCTCAAAAAGATGGAGTGTGATATTTAGAGTCTGGTGAGATTGATATGAGCCCTCCCCAGGTGCTGAGCAATTGGAGTTTCCATTGGAAATATCTGGTTTTTACTTTCATTAGTATTTCAGCTGTCAGCCTTTTTCTACTTTGCTACAGCGGCTGGTGCCAAAGGCCACCACCCCACCTGCCAATACAAGCATATCTAAGCCTTAAATGCTAGAGCAATCTGTAGTGATTTGTAGAGTCAGGGGAACTGTCCTGAAGGGGATTGCAGGCTTTTTCAACCTCTCTGTAGCTGACGCAGATATGCACAAATATCCCAACTCTGCCCTAGTTGGAGCTGGTGCACATCCCTACTTCATTTTTCCTTGAAATATGATATGATTAAAATCTGCTTGGGGAAGGGACCGTGCACACTAGTGGTGGTGGTTCTCTGCATGTATTTCTGTATGAAGCTTGTATCAACATAACAGACACATACCAAGGTCATGCTACATGCGTTCAGAATTAAGTTTTCAAAATGTGTAAAAATTTGGGGGGACATTATGGAATATAGGAAAGAATAATGGGAGGATTATTACTAATATATATGGAAGGAAATACTATATGCAAAGGAGCTGTTGGACGTCTGATTCAACCTACTTATGTCATAAATGAAGGCTTTATTTCCATGTATTGTTAATGGAGCATTTTTCAGCCACAAAGCCTTAAATGTATTAAAATTTATAAACATATATTTCCATGTCTTAGTTGTCTTATGTCTTGACTACTGTAATGCACTCTATGTGGCCCTGTCCTTGAAGAGAGTCCAAGATCCTCAGTTGGTGCAACATGCAGCAGCTAGATTATTGACTGGTGGATAGGATTTTAATTACATATATAACCTGATACTAAAAGATCTGCACTGGTAGTCATTTGCTTATGAGGCCTAATTCAAGGGTTAGTTTTAACATTTAAAGCTCTTTTGGCTTGGGGCCTGCTATCTAAAGGGCCACCTCTCTTATTATGAGCCGTCTAGAGAGGCGCATAATAAGAGAGGTTAAAATCTTCAGCAGAGGCACTCTTAGAAATACTAACAGTTTCAGAAGCCCACTTAACAGGTAAATAGGAGAGGGCCTTCTCCTGCATGACTCCAAGACTATGAAATGCACTCCCTTCCAAGTTGTAATCTGTTTCCACTCTGACAGGCATATGTCTGCTTGCTCTGTTATTTTTAACTTCATCCTTTGTTGATTTTAATAGCTTTAATGAATTTATATGATTTTGATGGTTTTATAGGGGTAGTGGTTTACATGATTTTATGATTTTTTAACCTGCATATTGTTTTAGCTGTTTTTATTATTTGACTAAATTTGTAAAGTTCTTTGAGCACTATCTTTTTGTGGAAAGACAGACTATAAATGTGATAAATAAACAAACATACATTTTAAGCAAAAATTTCTGTCCTTTTTGGATGCATGATTGGTCAATAAGGGGATTACTTGAACTTAATTAAGATGTTGTACATTGTTTTTACTTACAATTTAGGTTCTTTGTTACCACACTATACTTTTGCATTTCAGTTCCAAACCTCATCACCTTCAAGTCTCAGCTTGTCAAGCTAGCCCATAATAATTAAAACAACAAACAATAGTGCTTATTGTAATTAAGTGTCTGTATGTGGCTTTTGATTACCATTCTCTCCCCCCCCCCGCCTCTCCATGGTTGTGTTTCATTCCTGAAACTATTGCCAATGCAAACTGTTGCTTCTCTTGTTTCTTTATAGAACAGTACTGCTCAATTGCCTGTTGAAGAATTAGATAGAATTCAGGATTATCTTCAAAAAAGTGGATTGGCACACAGGTAATTCATTACTAATACTGCAAAATAAGGTCTGAATGTATCAAGGTTGCAATTACCTTTTGAAGTTCGTTGGCCAGTACAACAGCTATTATTTTAGCATCAATTTTAATTACTGGAATGGGTCTAAACTTTGGACACTGAGTGTGGTCTTTGCTAAGCTTGGGAATCACTGTGATATAGGTATCATACAACGAGAATGTTAAGGTCCCCTGTTCATACATCTCATTTTAAACCTAATGCACTTTTTAAATTTAAAGGTCTGAAAAAGTTTTATACTATTCAATTAAAAAACCTGGTCCCGGTGATTTACTAGTGTTCATAGTCATAATCACTGTCTTTATTTCATCTATAGACAAAGGTGAAGCAAAGAGCTAGTCTTCTAACAAATCTATACAGGGTAGATCAAGTTTTTAAATTCCCCCATCAAGACATGCTATGTATTGCAGCTGAAGACTACAGTCCAATACCTGTGCATTGTAAGGAATTGATGGTTGATGTGGGTTTTTGGGGCTCTTTGGCCGTGTTCTGAAGTTTGTTCTTCCTGATGTTTGCCAGTCTCTTCAGAGGACTGGAGTAGGAACTGTCCATGCTCTGTTGCTGTTTGTTGGATACTTGAGTATTTATAGCTGTGGGAACAGCTTTTGTCCTCTTCAGGAGATAGGGTGATCAGCGTGTTTTTGTTGTGGATGTATTGGGAGCGATCCTGAGATGCAAGATGCTTGTGTGGAAAGAGTTAACGAGGCCCAGTGGAATTCTAATGAGCATTCCAGAGGAGACAGCGATTTATCGCCCGTCCAAACAAAGGATCACAAGGGGGAGAGACTATCTGTCACTGTGGTTGATGGGTGTCTTTAGCTGGTCTTTTTGTGTGCAATGATCCCTGGTCCTCGTGGCTGGCTAGAGTTCGTTGACCTTTTGCACACTGTACTTTTCAGTGCTGGGAGCTAGGCCTTGTTAAGTTTTAGACTTTCTTCTTTTTTGAAGCTCTGCTGATGTTTATGGATTTCAATGGCTTCCCTGTGCAGTCTAACATAACGATTGCTGGTGTTGTCCAGTACTTCAGTATTTTGAAATAGAATTTCATGTCCAGCTTGTTTTAGGGCATGTTCAGCGACTGCTGATTTTTCTGGGAATTGAACTCATTTCCATGTACATATTTTTCAGATTACACACAGTTGGTTAATGTTTGGACTTTATCAGGTAGTGCTGTCTATTCCAGGATAACTGAAAAAACAACATGCTTGCTCATCATGTCCAAATATCATGTCATCTTAAACCTGACCTTTTTTTTTCATCATCTTTTCAAGTCAAAGGTGTTTAGATTTTAGCCATCAGTGTTTACTTATTAGTAAGCTGTGACAATAGAAACATCTTCAATCACTACCTGGAGATTTTCTTATTTTCTTATTTCAACATATTTTGACTACTGGTTAGATAACCCTTTAAATTATGGTTTCCTTTTATCTGTTCTGTCAGGCTGCTAGCCCTGTACCATGTTTCATATTCTATACAGCATTATCTCCTCTGTTAAGTAAAACAGTTCCTGTCAACATCCATTCTAGTTGGCAGCCTAAGACAGCAAGGCAGGACAGTGAGGCACCCAGCTTCCACCCCTTGCTAAAGCTGTCTTATTCACTGATCATTCTTCTATGTGGGGACCATCCAGTGGTTCAAAAGAACACTGGGGTGTTCTTTGCTGAGTGTGGAGGTTTTGTTGTTGTTGTTGTTTTTATAAAGTACTTATTTAGTGGATTCCAGCCACTACCAAGAATGGTGGCAGTTTTCTGGGCCTCTGTAGGGGTGGCCACGTGCAAACACGAAGCTTGGCTGGCCCAGGTGGACAATCTTAAGGAGAGATGCTTCATCAGGTAAGAAGGCCCCAAACCATTAAGGTCTTTATAGGTTAATACCAGCACAGAAGCATACAGAGATCCAGTGCAGATATGCCAGAATCAGGGAGATGTGATCATATCTTTGTACTCTCAGTATGAATCTGGGTGCTGCATTTTGCACCTGTTGAAGCTGCTGTATCACCTTCAAAGGCAGCCCCTCATAGAAAGCACTGCAGTAGTTGATCCTAGAGATTAACAACACATGAACAAATGTTATTAGAGATTTTCTGTCCAGGTAGGACTGTGACTGTGCAGTCTGCTGGGGATGGAAAAAGGGCAGACCTAGCCACCACCAAGATGAGGTGCTTCATAGAGAGAGCTGGGTCAAGGAGAAGTGTGACCCTGTACAAACCAAACAGAGTACCTCATAACTGAGCAGGTTCTTCATCTAATAACATCGTCTCCATCTCATCAGGATTGGATTTCAGTCTGTTAGCCCTCATGCAGTCCATAAGTGGGCCAAACAGTGTTCCAGAATTTGCACAGCTTCTACTGCTGAAAATCAAAAGGAGAGATAGAGCTGCATGTCAATACCATATTGATGACAGTGAACTCCACATCTCTGGATGACTTGCCCCAGCGGCATTTTATAGATGTTAAAAAGCATTGTTTCTAGCCCTTTATGTTTCAGCCCTAACTTTAAATATCACTGAACAGTGTTAGGGAAGAATTTGAACTCACTGATGGTGAGATAGAATGTTTTGATAGTCCATCAGAACTCCCTAGCTAACCAGATCCAGCCTTCTCAGTCAATCTAAACAGCAGTTACAGTGTCTGAAAAAACAAAGGAAGCAGATGACAAAGTCAAATTAAAATCCTCTATGATTAAAATTCTTCCTTCTAATAAACAGATTTCATTTTATGCCTTGGGGTCAGAGAGTTTCTTTTCCGCAGATCCAAGAAGTTTCCTTATTGACATAACTAGTTCTTCTTCATGGCCTCTGTGAATCACACTGTGGGTAATCCACGCATGCACGGGGCCTCATCAGAATATTCTAGAGCTTCTGCAATAGCAAAAACATACATTAGTGCAGACCCCTCCCCTTGGTATATGTACCTTGGTGCCAAGGCTCTCCCTTCAGTTTCTTTCAACTGCCATGTTGACAGCCTCTATCGTCGCCTCTGTGAGTCCTTTCTAAAACTGAAAGTTATTGATTTCCTTTCATTTATAACGAAGCTTTAATTATTATTTTGCTTATTAATTTTTTTGCAGATAACTGCTCCAGCCTTAGGGCCGAAACCCCCCCCCCCCCAATTTTCTTTTCCAAACTGGCTTTTCAGTTCATAGCCTCTTCACACCCTTTTAAATGCTGCATGGCCTGCAGTAATAAAATTCCACTTCTTCATAGTGGTCTCTGTGAATGCACCCAAATGGGTTAATTCTGCGCCTGCGCAGGATGTTCAGAAGATTCTAGAGCAGGGGTCAGTGAACTTTTTTACCTTTTACCCCCCAAAAAAAATTTATATACGCCGACATTACCCCCTTGATTCGAAAGGAAGGAAATCATACATTATTTGAATTAAAAATATTATTCAATCTACACAGGCTGCGTACCGAGCTAGCAGGATGCACCAAATTACATAAAGATGTGCACTATTTTGACTGGAACACATTGCTCTCCAGCCATAGTGTGGT